CATGATGAAGCCCATTCATTGTCATAACTTCACTCACATCATTTTTATGCCCACTGATGAAGCCCATTCATGTCATAACTTTGCTCACATAATTTATTTGCCCACTGATGTGATCCATTCATGTCATAACTACACTTACATAATTTATATGCCCACTGATGAAGCCCATTCATGTCATAACTTTGCTCACATAATTTTTATGCCCACTGATGCGGTCCATTCATGTCATAACTTCGCTCACATAGATTTTATGCCCGCTGATGCGGCCCATTCATGTCATAACTTCACTCACATACTTTATATGCCCACTGATGAAGCCCATTCATGTCACAACTTCGCTCACATAATTTATATGCCCACTGATGAAGCCCATTCATGTCATAACTTCACTCACATAATTTATATGCCCACTGATGAAGCCCACTCATGTCATAACTTCACTCACATAATTTTTATGCCCACTGATGAAGCCCATTCATGTCATAACTTCACTCACATAATTTATATGCCCACTGATGAAGCCCACTCATGTCATAACTTCACTCACATAATTTATATGCCCACTGATGAAGCCCATTCATGTCATAACTTCACTCACATAATTGTTATGCCTACTGATGAAGCCCATTCATGTCATAACTTCACTCACATAATTTATATGCCCACTGATGTGATCCATTCATGTCCATAACTTCACTCTCATAATTTTTATGCCCACTGATGAAGCTCATTCATGTCATAACTTCACTCACATAATTTATATGCCCACTGTTGAAGCCCATTCATGTCATAGCTTCACTCACATAATTTTTATGCCCACTGATGAAGCCCATTCATGTCATAACTTCACTCACATAATTTTTATGCCCACTGATGAAGCCCATTTATGTCCTAATTTCACTCACATAATTTATATGCCCACTGATGTGATCCATTCATGTCATAACTTCACTCACATAATTTATATGCCCACTAATGAAGCCCATTCATGTCATAACTTCACTCACATAATTTTTATGCCCACTGATGAAGCCCATTCATGTCATAACTTAGCTCACATAATTTATATGCCCACTGATGAAGCCCATTCATGTCATAACTTCACTCACATAATTGTTATGCCCACTGATGAAGCCCATTCATGTCATAACTTCACTCACATAATGTATATGCCCACTGATGTGATCCATTCATGTCATAACCTCACTTACATAATTTTTATGCCCACTGATGAAGCCCATTCCTGTCATAACTTTGCTCACATAATTTTTATGCCCACTGATGAAGCCCATTCATGTCATAACTTCACTCACATAATTTATATGCCCACTGATGAAGCCCATTCATGTCATAACTTCACTCACATCATTTATATGCCCACTGATGAAGCCCATTCCTGTCACAACTTCACTCACATAATTTATATGCCCACTGATGAAGCCCATTCATGTCATAACTTCACTCACATAATTTTTATGCCCACTGATGAAGCCCCTTCATGTCATAACTTCACTCACATAATTTATATGCCCACTGATGAAGCCCATTCATGTCATAACTTCGCGCACATAAATTATTTGCCCACTAATGCGGCCCATTCATGTCATAACTTTGTTCACATAATTTTTAAGCCTACTGATGCGATCCATTCATGTCATAACTTCGCTCACATAATTTATATGCCCACTGATGAAGCCCATTCATGTCATAACTTCGCTCACATAATTTTTAAGCCCACTGATGCGATCCATTCATGTCATAACTTCGCTCACATAATTTATATGCCCACTGATGAAGCCCATTCATGTCATAACTTCGCTCACATAAATTATTTGCCCACTGATGCGGCCCATTCATGTCATAACTTCGCTCACATAATTTATATGCCCACTGATGAAGCCCATTCATGTCATAACTTCGCTCACATAATTTATATGCCCACTGATGAAGCCCACTCATGTCATAACTTCACTCACATAATTTTTATGCCCACTGATGAAGCCCATTCATGTCATAACTTCACTCACATAATTTATATGCCCACTGATGAAGCCCACTCATGTCATAACTTCACTCACATAATTTATATGCCCACTGATGAAGCCCATTCATGTCATAACTTCACTCACATAATTGTTATGCCTACTGATGAAGCCCATTCATGTCATAACTTCACTCACATAATTTATATGCCCACTGATGTGATCCATTCATGTCCATAACTTCACTCACATAATTTTTATGCCCACTGATGAAGCCCATTCATGTCATAACTTCACTCACATAATTTTTATGCCTACTGATGATGCCCATTCATGTCATAACTTCACTCACATAATTTTTATGCCCACTGATGAAGTTCATTCATGTCATAACTTCACTCACATAATTTTTATGCCCACTGATGAAGCCCATTCATGTCATAACTTCACTCACATAATTTATATGCCCACTGATGAAGCCCATTCATGTCATAACTTCACTCACATAATTTATATGCCCACTGATGAAGCCCATTCATGTCATAACTTCGCTCACATAATTTATATGCCCACTGATGAAGCCCATTCATGTCATAACTTTAGCTCACAGAATTTATATGCCCACTGATGAAGCCCATTCATGTCATAACTTCACTCACATAATTGTTATGCCCACTGATGAAGCCCATTCATGTCATAACTTCACTCACATAATGTATATGCCCACTGATGTGATCCATTCATGTCATAACCTCACTTACATAATTTTTATGCCCACTGATGAAGCCCATTCCTGTCATAACTTTGCTCACATAATTTTTATGCCCACTGATGAAGCCCATTCATGTCATAACTTCACTCACATAATTTATATGCCCACTGATGAAGCCCATTCATGTCATAACTTCACTCACATCATTTATATGCCCACTGATGAAGCCCATTCCTGTCATAACTTCACTCACATAATTTATATGCCCACTGATGAAGCCCATTCATGTCATAACTTCACTCACATAATTTTTATGCCCACTGATGAAGCCCCTTCATGTCATAACTTCACTCACATAATTTATATGCCCACTGATGAAGCCCATTCATGTCATAACTTCGCGCACATAAATTATTTGCCCACTAATGCAGCCCATTCGTGTCATAACTTTGTTCACATAATTTTTAAGCCTACTGATGCGATCCATTCATGTCATAACTTCGCTCACATAATTTATATGCCCA